TGTGTCAATAAGCTTAAAAACTTGATTCAAGGTCCTTCATAATAGTKGTTAAAATCGGTTAAAATATATTAGATATACATAAAAACGATTTTTAGCTATGACCATTTTAAGTTGAAATTTTGGCATAAAGTGTATRAAATATAGTAATATTTAGGTACTTTAAAAGTTTTAAGTACCTACTCATGAATAATATTTTTAAATTACAGCAAATTAGTAAATTTAATAAATATCTATTTAGAATATACTTTTCTTGGTAGAAAATTGCTAATACCTAGGTATAGAAAAAATATTCTGTCTGACAAAAAATCAAAATTGTCTTTGAAGTGTCTGAGTGAACTGATTACAACTAATTACCTATCATCATTTWAAAATTACATTATAAAAACCAGAAATTTTGATTCTGAAGATGGTTTATGAAAAAATAATTTTGAGCCATGGAGACGGACAATACACAATGCACATGTGATATCTATGTTTGTACATTTCTGTAAATAAAACCTTGGAGGCTTGGAGGGACATTGTATCACATTCTGAAACGACTGAAACCCTATAATATAGGTACTAAATAATTTGGAATTTATATGCAGTTTTAAATTAAAAACAATTATTGAATTTTAGATATTAGTGCTGTTAAACAAAAAAAATATAGGCACGATATAGTATTTAACACACTTAAGATAGGTACCTTTAAATATGAAGATTTTTTTAACCTGTTAATTATGAATCATTCGTCACGACACATAAGTGTGATGCCATCGTGATTATTAGTAGGTTAGTAATAAATTTTTATTTTTATTTATAAAAACCTACATGTATAGGTTTTAAAGTAGGCAACTATGAACTAGGTARCTATTCGTTGTTACTCGTTCATCGTTGATTTATTATATAATCTTTTAATTATTGCACCTATGCCTATAGATGAGAAATTGTTGGATAGGTACAGCTATAGTCTTTGAAAATACTGAACATTTTCAATAAAAGTCATATACCAATTGATTAGTTGAGACTCAGTGTCTCATAGAATATAGGTATGTTTCTTATTTTTATCTTGAAATTCAACCACTATAAGACACATACAATTTGACAAAAAAATACGAAAATTCAATTTTAGTTTTGTTTATTTGTTGGTTTCTATTAAKTTACCAGGAAACAAAGTAGTTATATTTTTGTTTGATTTGGTCGTTACTATCAAAAAATTTCCTAAATTATTGCTCTTATCCAAATATAAAATTGTCGAGTGGATTTTTTTAAATTCATTGATCACAATTCACTATTATAGAGGAACGAAGCTGGTTACAAGCATCAGTATAGTTTATAAATACACCTTGAAACATAGTTCATATATATCAAACTGACCATTGACCATTGTAGACAAACTCCATTCAACGGCATATTGAACGATAAAAAATAATGGAATACTTTATGGAATTCATGGCGCCATCTATCACATGTATTTACAGTTACTTTTTTAAAACAATTGTCTATACGGTCTACAGAATCACTTATTTGACACATTGATACCGTATTAAAAAGTGTGTTGTTAACTTTTGTGTTTTGTTATTAATTTTCTCATTTAAAGGTACACTTAAACCGATTTTCTGATGTAGTTGTTATATTTTTTGTCTTTGGATGTTATTTGAATCATTTTAACTTTAAGTGTATTGAGGTTGGGTACCTGTAGTACTTAGTTTATATTTATTATTTCCATACCTTAATAATTTCATAAAATGTTTTTGTGAGTTGTATTAAGATGTAAGAACTATAAAATTTTGTTGTAGATAGCCATATAAGTAAACAATTTTATAATGGAAATTTATGGAATAATTAAAAAACAACATTTGAAAAAATATTTCATTAATTTTCATAACATCAGTTATATATTGTATAATTTAACATTTAAAACGACCGCAATCATGGTTCGATTTAGTAGTAACATTATCATATTCATATTCATGGTTTTTCTTATGGTTTGTATTAGGTACATTTGATTTTGTTAGTGGATGTAACTATGATTAATTCTATAGGTATTATATAATAATTTTTTTTAAATACGATGTTTATTTACTCTGTTAATTTGTCWTAATAAATTACGTTTCTCAGACAACATAACATTTCCTCCACCATGGACGAAGTGTTGGGACTAAATATCGAAAACATCTAAAAAATGTCGGCTTTCCTATAAGAGAAGAGGACTTATATAGTTATATGACAATATTTCAGAAAAAAAACCACAGTTGTAAGTATGATAACACATTAACACTATTCACACTTGATAAATGTATCTTATAGTATACTATGGCTGTTAATAACATGATGGATACTGGATACATATTTATAWTGTATAGGTATACTGAGTCAAATAACTTAATAACTATAGTAACCTTTGTTGTTTATGTCATTCAAAGTTCAATAAAAAAAAATTGCGTTCATGTGAGATGTGAGAATAATAAACTTTGTGCGTCATCTAGGAAGAGTATTATTTGAGCAATATATGTGTATATAATGTGTTCATACACACATTAAGCGTTTAGAGTATTAAACTATTAATAGCACGTTCACAGTATTTCTCTATATTAGTATATTAAACAAACATTATTCAAAAAGGATTTTTATTTTTATGTTATGTCTTACAGATTTTATATTTTCTAATAAATGTTAAAATAAAAAGGTTTTATTATGAAAAAATATGAAGCATCCCTACATTCTGATACAGCTAATTTTTTAGAAAATTATCCACTGGATAATTATTACAGTTCAAATTGGAGAGAGGAGGTTTTCATTTGAATAA